GGCTGGCGCCCCTCGCCTTTCTCGGCCTCCGCCGGGGCAGGAGCTGCGAGAGCAAACGAGCCGAAATCTCAGCGTGCCGGGTTCCTGGGAGCCAGGCGGACGAAAAGCTGCCGGGCCGCGTGGCACCGCCGGCCGACGTCTCCGGCGCCGTCCGAGGATGAGTCATAGGCGCCAACTGCGTCCCGCGCTTTTTCTTCCGTTCCCGGGACAAATCGAGATTTGGCGTGTCCGGATCTCGTCGGATCCTCACACCAGTAGACGGTTAAGCGATCTTAAGCCATTTAAAAGAAGTTGTCACGGAGGAGGCGACAGGGTCGAGGACCCCCGTTTTCCTTTTTTAACAAGTCCATTTTCGTGAGAGCTGCGCTCTGAAGTTTGTTCTCTGCGTTGTTTTCTTCAAGACGAGGGTAAATAATCTGCCTTTGCAGTTTAAAATATGGAAGTGCTAGGGAAGAAGAAGTCAGTAATCCGCATCTCTGGTTGAAGTCAGTAATCCGCATCTCAGATGGCATTTGTTCAGTTGTGGGCACTCACTAAGTTTTAACTGAATGAATTTAAAGCAGTAAATTTCATAGGAACCAGATGTTCAATACGACTCATGATTTTGGGGGGAAATGGAATTGACTTGGAAATTGGGACCCGGAGACTAAATGGTTTTTGATTTATCGGACCTGAAGTTTAAAGGTATCATTTTAAAGTTTTCCCTCCTTTTTCTTCGCAAAGAAAGCAGCTCTTTAATTTTTAACGTTGACATCAAAGGGCAATGTGTGAGTCACCAAGTGTTTCTCTTGCCCTAGGTGATGTCAGTGCAACTGTTGCTGCTTAACTTGTTTGTTGCTGAGAGAGGATGTCTCTTTCCTTTTTTGCTTCAGGTTGTATGTTTAAGATTGTTTACGAAACCCGACTCGGTGGCTCAGCCTGTAATCCCGCGCCTTGGGAGGCTGAGGCGAGTGGATTGCCTGAGCCCGCGGGTTCGAGACCCGCCTGGGCAACTTGGCGAGACCTCATCTCTACAATAAATCAAAAAATCAAGCTGGGCTCGGTGGCTCAGCCTGTAATCCCGCGCCTTTGGGAGGCTGAGGTGAGTGGATTGCCTGAGCCCGCAGGTTGGAGACCCGACTGGGCAGCGAGACCTCATCTCTACAATAAATCAAAAAATCAGCTGGGCGAGGTAGCGCATGCCTGTAATTCCAGCTACTCGGAAGGCTGAGGCGGAAGGATCCCTGGAGCCCAGCAGGCGAGGCTGCGGTGGCCGGGAGCCGCCACTGTACTCTAGTCTAGGCGACAGAGTGAGACTCCAACTCAAAAAAAAAAAAAAAAAAAAAAAAATACATTGATAGTTTTCCATATTAATAGCTTTCAATGTGAGAATAATATCCAACTTTTAGGTTTTCTGTGATTTTTTTTTTCCTTTGAATTGTGTGATTGTTTTACCATGAGGCGGTTTATTTTCAACAAAGTAGAAATATTATTAACAAGTGAACTTCAATATTTTTTTTCTTGAATCAGAGTCTCACTCTGTCACCTAGACTGGAGTGCAGTGGCACGCTCATGGCAGCCTCAACCTGCTGGGCTCAGGCAGTCCTGCCACCTCAGCCTTCCAGGTAACGAATTACAGCCACATACCTCCATGCCCAGCTAATTTTTTAATTTTTTGAAGAGAGGAGTCCGAGCCAAGTTGCCCAGGTTGGGCTTGAACCCCTGAGCTCAGGTAGTCCTCTCAACTCCATCCCCAAAGTACTGAGATTACGGGTTTAAACCTGGCCAAATATTTTTTCTTATATTTGAAATATTTAGTGAAAATTGGAGGTGAAATTTGAAATAGCACTCAGTACTCTTGTTGAGGGTAGATATTTTATGTTCTAGTTTCCCTGGAGATTATAGGGGTTGGCTGGTGTTGGCACTTGGACCCTGAATCAAAGGTGTGGTTCCCTCTGTGGTGTGACCTTGTGGCCTGGAGTCACCTAAGAAAATTCTGGTCTATGGCTTGTCCACATGCCATGATTTCTCTTTAGAAATTGATCAGTAGTCATGGCTGGAAGTGGTGTCCTGGCCAGTCTTGTTATCTTCTCTCATGTTCTTTTTTTTAAATGTTTTTTTCAGAACACCCACTTGTTGGCAAACAGACTTAAACAGTGCCTTAAAATACTTGGATTAACATACATGTCTACAGTATGTTTGGTAAATATCAGAGATATGGTAAAGGTCTAAATCTGTCTAGCATGCATATATTTCTTCAAATGTGAAGCCTACACACAGACCTAGAAAGGAAAGAATAATCTCTGTAATAGTTTTCTTCCAAGGCCCTTCTGTTCTAGGCAGGCAGATTTTTGGAATAGTTTTAATTTCTGGCTTGTCTCGTTTTTTTTTTTTTCCTGTGGAAACTCTGCTGCTTTCCCTTTAGTTGTGCCCGTTGGAAGAAAAGCTCAGTGTTTCTTTGCCAAGAGGAAAGGATGCCTGCATTACTCAGAGGAGGCGTTGAAGCTGCTTTGCTTCTTGGTATTTGGGGGTTTGGGGTTTTGATCATTCCCGTCGTTGTCCTGTTGGCGATCAACTCCAGGTGGAATTAAGCCTTCCTAGCTACACTCTCCTGTCGTTGCTCTGGCCTTATTTCCTCTGAGTCAATTCACTAGGAATAAACTTCTCATATTACTAAATCTCTACCACCTCATCCGACATTCTTGCTATAATAATGAGTGCATCCCGTTTTTCCTGGCCTGGTTGAAGCTTGAATGCACTGATGTTTGAGAGAAGGTGCACTGTCCACTCGTTGAGCCATGTGCTGTCTGTCACAACTCACCTGTAGGAGTCTTGGTAACAAAAGACGATCGTGTCTGGCCCTCTGCCCTAAACTTCTGTGAAAATATGAACGATTAGTGCTACATGTGTCACCAGGACCCCTGGAAGACCACAGTTCCGAAAAGGGTGATAGCAGTAGTTTTATTATTCGTAAGATAGCACGTGGCACAATGGGGAGGGAAAACACTGGAAGCTTTTGCTGAATTCCTGATTCTAGGCTCGGCTTCCTCACTGTCGGGCAGTGTGATTCTGAGTGAGTTATCTACTTCTTTGGCCTCGATTTTCCTCTCCAGAAATGAGGTCTTTTTGGATTTCCTCAATGATTTATAATGAATTGATGAAATGACAGATACATGTATTTAAACTGCACATGGCTCAAATTTCAAAAGGTACAAAATGAAATTGAGTGAAAAGTATGTCTTCCTTTCTCATTACCTGCCTGTCACCTAGTTCATCCCTTGGTAGGTTTCTTAATGGCTTTCCAAAGATATTTTGTATGTTAAAGAATCTCTCTTTTTTTTTGAGTTGGAGTCTCACTCCATCGCCCAGACTGGAGGGCAGTGGCACGCTCCCGGCCACCGCAGCCTCGACCTGCTGGGCTCCAGCGATCCTCTTGCTTCAGCCTTCTGAGTAACTGGAACTATAAGCGCGTGCTACCACACCCGGCTAATTTTTTATTTATCGTAGCGACGAGGTCTAGCCAAGTTGCCTAGGTGGGTCTCAAACCTGCGAACTCAGACAATCCACTCACCTCAGCCTCCCAAAGTGCTTGGGATGACAGGCTGAGCCACCGAACCTGGCCTAAAGAATCTCTTAATATTCTTTTGCACTCTTAAAATTTGATGTTTCTGATTTTTAGGGTAGGATAGGATAATCTAAACTCTGATATCTACTTTCATCATGGGTGAGATGCAATTTTTTAGACTGTAAACTATACTGTTGCAGGACATGGGGACTCACACCTGTAGTTCCAGCTACTCAGGAGGCTGAGGCAGGTGGTTTGCTTGAGGCCAGGAGTTCAAGACCTGCCTGGGCAACATAGTGAGACTCCTGTCACTTAAAAAAAATAGGCTGAACTCAGTGGCTCAGCCTGTAATCCCAGCACTTTGAGATGCCGAGGTGAGAGGACTGCCTAAGTCCATGGGTTTGAGACCCACCCGGGCAACTTGGCAAGACTGCGTCTCTACAATAAATAAAAAATTAGCCAGATGTAATAGCGTGCACCTGTAGTTCCACCTACTTGGAAGGCTGAGGCAGAAGGATCACCGGAGCCCAGCAGGTCAAGGCTGCGGTGGCCGGGAGCGTGCCATTGCCCTCCAGCCTGGGTGACAGAGTGAGACTCCAGCTCAAAAATAAAAATAAAAATAAAAATAAAAAAACTGGACACAGTGGCTCACGCCCATAGTCCCAGGACTTGGGGAGGCTGAAGCGAGAGAATTGCCTGAGTCAGGAGCGAGACCAGCCTAGGCAAAACGGTGAGACCTTGTCTCTGTTATGTATATGTAAGTTGTCTGGCTGGTCTTGAACCCTTGGGTGCAGGCCATCCTCTCACCTCTACTTCCCAAAGAACTGGATGAACCATGGTGCCTGGCTCATCTCTTTTTGTCACATATCACCCAAGGATCTCTTCCAGACATTCTGGATGCTATATGTGCGTATAACTGATGACACGGTACTGATTACATTCTAATTATCTTTAGAGGGAGCAGTTGAAGAGATCAGACATTTTAGCAATGTACAAATGAGTATTAACTTCATCCAAAGGAAAAGGAATGGAAATGTTTAATTGGTAATGTTAGGCAAAAGAATGTACTTTCATTTTTACACAAGAAGGAGAAAGAAAATAAATAACATTCCCGAAGAGAAAAATGTAACCCCGAGGCCAGTAGGGTCAGGCAGAAGCTAGAATGAACTTAGGATCTGGGTCACGGCTGTTTTTGAATCTACAAGGAATAAATGCACTCTTTAACTCTGGATTAAGCCATACATTTTAAGTAACCTTTCTGTTTGGCTCGCTGGAAAGAATCCTTTTTGGCTTTTGTGTGGGACATGCCAAACCAAGAGGGCTTTACTCTCGGGCCATTTCCCTGCTGTGTTCTTTGGCCGTGTGGATGCTCAGATCAGTTGCCAGCTTCTCCTTGCCTTTCTCCCCAGCAATTCTGCTTTCCAATTGTCTTTCTCCTAAATGCACCTCTTAGGAAATGGTTGTTCATTCCCTAGCTTCAGTTAAGTTGGCTCCAGAATGTGGCAGTCTTTCAAGTAGACGGGTAAGCCTAGCATACGAACATCTCTCCTTAGATGAGGAGTTTCAAAGCAGTCTTTTCTGGCTGTTCTAATATGACCTTTATGTGTCTTTCCCCAGAAGCAACGTTTTATTCTAGCTAGAGTCCGTGTTCTTGATGTCTCAGTATGTGTAAAAATATGGCTTTCTGGTTGGGCACGTTGGCTCAGGCCTGTAGTCCCAGCACTTTGGGAGGCTAAGGTAGGAGGATCACTTGAAGCCAGTAGTTCGGGACAAGCCTGAGCAACATAGCAAGAACTCATCTCTACAAAAATCAAAATAAAAAAATTAGCCAGGCGTGGTGGCACACACCTGTAGTCTCAGCTACTTAGGAGGCCAAGGGGGAAGAATTGCCTGAGCCCAGGGGTTTGAGACCAGCCTGGGCAACTTGGCGAGACTTTGTCTCTACAATAAATCAAAAAATTAGCTGGGCGTGGTGATACACACCTGTGGTTCCAGCTACTTGGAAGGCTAAGGCAGAAGGATTGCCTGAGTCCAGCAGGTTGAGGCTGAGGTGGCTGTGAGCATGCCACTGCACTTCAGCCTGGGTGCCAGTGAGCCTCTGATGAAAAATAAAATAAAATAAAAACATCAGCCGGACATGGTGACACATGCCTATAGTCCCAGCTACTTGGGAGGCTGAGGGGGAAGGATCGCCTGAGCCCAGGAGTTCAAGGCTGCAGTGAGCTGTAATCGTGCCACTGTACTCCAACCTGGGCGACAGAGTGAGACCCTGATGCAAAACAAAGCAAAATGTATGGACTTCCAATATTGAGGTTTCGGATTTGTCAGTTGACTTAAAAAATATGCTGTATTCATAGCTGTGGCCACAGTCGTCTGAAACCGTTATCGGTTTGAGCATGATGGACGCTTGACGCCTCGCTGGGCAGTCAGTCTCCACCTAATGGTGGGATGTGTCCTGAGGAATGCGTCATTGGTCCGTTCTGTCACTGTGTGAGCATCCTAGAGTGTCCTCACAGTCCTGGATGGCGTAGCCTGTTGCACACCTAGGCTGTGTGGCGCGGCCAGTGGCTCTTGAGCTACAAACCTGTCAGCAGGTGACTGTGCCGAACGCTGTAGCCAGTTGGAGCACAATGGTAAGTATTTGTGTATCTAAACATAGAAAAAGTACAGTGAAAATACAGTTTTAACATCTTGTGGAACCATACTGTGTATGTGGTCCGTCTTTAACTTAAGCGTCGTCAGCGGGGCATGACTCCTTCCAAGAACTTCTTTAAACTCCTTTCACTGGCGTGGAACTTCTACCTACAAATAGCAAATGAGCTGGCATCTTTTTTTTTAAGAGACAGGGTCTTGCTCTGTTACCTATGGTGGAGCACAGTGGTACCTTCATAGCTTACTGCAGCCTTGAACTCCTGGGCTCAGGCAATTCTCCCACCTTGGCCTCACCCAGTAGCTGGGACTATAGGCACATGCCATCATAACTGGCTGATTTTTAAATTTTTTTTGTAGAGACAGTGTCTTGATATGTTGTCTAGGCTTGTCTTGAAGTCCTGGCCTCAAGTGATCCTCCCACCTTAACCTCCCAAAGTGCTGGGATTACAGGCACGAGCCACTGTGCCTGGCCTGAATGTATTCTTTTTTTTTTCTGAGTCGGAGTCGCACTCTGTCACCCAGGCTGGAGGGCAGTGGCACGCTCACAGCCACCGCAGCCTCGACCTGCTGGGCTCAGGTGATCCTTCCACCTCAGCCTTCCAAGTAGCTGGAACTACAGGCATGCGCCACCATGCCCTACTAATTTTTTTTTTTAATTGTAGAGATGAGGTCTCACCAATTTGACCAGGCTGGTCTCAAACCCGAGGGCTCGGGCAATCCTCTCACCTTGGCCTCCCAAAGTGCTGGGATTATAGGCGTCAGCCACCACGCCCGGCCTGAACCTGTTTTTTAAACTAAGGTGTCATTGACTTTTTTCTATTCTATTATCTATTCTAGATCTACCCTTTTGTTTTCTTTTTCATGATCACAAGGTATTATTTTCATAAATATATCTTATTAATTGTCCACTCATTGACAGACATTGTTACATGTATTATTGTATATTTGGGATATGCAGTTTGCATCTTGATAGAAGCTGCTGAATTTCCTTTCCAAAAGGTGATGGTCACTTTTTGTACAACAGGGTAGGATGCCTCTCTGGAAGTGGAGCAGTTATTGTCAACTCTTGGTGTGCAGGCTTCTGTGTGTCCATGAGTATACAGCAGGAGCTCAGGAAATAGTCACAGGTGACCAAGGCGAGTCTAAAAGAGGGACTTTCTGCAGTTAAGATCAGTAAAAAGATTCCAAACTGACACTAAAACTTGATGAGATTCAGGATTTAAAGTCAACTCCTACAGAATTCAACTAGCAACATCAAGTTGACATATGAAAGTAGGTACAGTAATAGCTAGGGTTAGTAGCTAGCACTGTTAGGTTCTTTGTGAATGAAACAAAGCCTGTTGTTTACCGAGTCCTAGGTTTTGAGTGACACAATAGGGAATTGCTACAGAAACTTTATCAGAAGTGTACAACTAAAGAAATGTTGATTGATATTTGCTGAGTTCTGGTTAGCAAAATATAATTGAGTGGATAATGGGAAGATACAGCACCTCGGAGGTGCTGAGGTTAATCAACATTTGGCTTTCCAGTGGGACTTGATTAAAGAATTAGCAGCACTTGGCTGGGGCAGTAGCTCACACCTGTGTTCCAGCAGCTTGGAAAGCCAGAGCAAGAGGATTGCTTGAGCCCAGAGCCCAGTAGTTCAAGACCAGCCTGGGCAACATAGCAAGACTTCATTCCTACAAAAAATTTTTTAAATAGCTGGTTGTGGTGGCATATGCCTTTAGTCCCAGCTACTCAGGAGACTGAAGGATCACCTGAGCTCAGGAGGTTGAGGCTGCAGTGAGCTGTGAGCATGCCACTGCACAGCAGCCTGGGCTACCGAGTGAGACCTCGACTCAAACAAACAAAAAAGAATTAATAGTACTTACTCTTAAGTTCAAATGTATGTGTTTGAAAGCTATTGCTGCCAGTGTTTCTGATACTGAATCATAATCTCCAGCCTGGGCAACTTGGTGAGTTGAGACTTCGACTCTACAGCAAATCAAAAAATAAGGTGGGCATGGTAGTACACATCTGCAGTTCCAGCTACTTGGAAGGCTGAAGCAGAAGGTTTGTCTGAGCCCCAGCAGGTCAAGGCTGATTGTGAGTGTGCCATTGCCCTCCAACCTGGGCAACAGAGTGAGACTCCGACTCAAAAAAAAAAAAAAAAGAATCATAACTTCAGACTTTCTGATTCTGGCCAACAAAACAAAAGGTCTGTTACAGGGTACAACTGATATTACAGTCTAGTTTGAAACCTTTTCCCAACGAAGCACATAAATGACAGGAAAAGAAATGAGGAAACCACGGGGTGGAAGCCTCTGTCGGCTCAACAGCTAAGGTCAGTTGCATCTCTAGAGATTGCCTTTTCTAATGTTGATGAAACTGCCAAACTCTGTAAAATATATTCAAAGCTTTCTTCTGAGTCAAATGTAAGTGACCTCAGCGTGTGGCACAGTCCCAGGAAGTCCTGAAAGCACGGGCCCAAAACAGTCGAATTACAGCTGGGTTTTATACATTTTAGGGAGATAGAAGTTACAGGCAAAGCATAAATCAGTGCATGTGAGGTTCACCTTGGTTTGGCGGCAGAAGGCAGGACATCTCCAAGCAGGGGCGGGGCTTGTAGGTCACTGGTGGATTTAAAGATTTTCTGATCGGCCATTGATAGAAAGTCTAAAGGATTTTGAAACTAGTAAAGGAAATGGTGAGTTGAGATAAGGGGGAGTGGAAGGGACTGAAGTTCTTGATATGTAGATGAAGCCCTTAGAAGAAGAGATCACAAACATGGTGTTCATACTTTATTTATTTATTTTTTTGAGTTTCACTCTGGCGCAAAGACTGGAGTGCAGTGGCCTCCTGGCCCCCGCAGCCTCAACCTGCTGGGCTCCGGCGATCCTTCCGCCTCAGTCTTCCAAGTAGCCAGAACTACAGGCGCGCGCTACCACGCCCGGCTAATTTTTTGATTTATTGTGGAGATGAGGTCTCGCCAAGTTGCCCAGGCGGGTCTCGAACCCGCGGGCTCGGGCCATCCATGCACCTCAGCCTCCCAAGGCGTGGGATTGCAGGCTGAGCCACCAAGCCCGGCGGTATTCATACTTTGAAGGTGTCAGGCTCACTGAGTGCCACCTGGATCTGGGAAGGCCTGGAAGGGGAGAGAATGTGGCTGGGTGAACGAAGGCATTCTGCAGATGTCCTTGTCTTCCCAGGAAGGATGGCCTCGCAGGGCTGTTTCAAAGTATGCTGAAGAAATACGTTTTGGCCAGGCGCAGTGGCTCAAATCTGTAATCCCACACTTTAGGCAGCTGAGGCGAGAGAATTGGCTGAGCTCAGGGGTTCGAGACCAGCCTGGGCAACTTGGCGAGATCTCCTCTCTACAATCAATAAAAAAATTAGCCGGACATGGTGGCACATGCCTGTGGTTCCAGCTCCTTGGAAGGCTGAAGCGGAAGGAACACCTGAGCCCAGCAGGTGGAGACTGCGATGGCTTCGAGCATGCCACTGTCCTCCAGCCTAGGTGACAGAGTGACTCCAACTCAAATTAAAAAAAAAAAAGAAGCCGGGCTCGGTGGCTCAACCTGTAATCCCGCGCCTTTGGGAGGCTGAGGTGAGTGGATTGCCTGAGCCCGCAGGTTTGCGACCCGCCTGGGCAGCTTGGTGAGACCTCATCTCTACAATAAATCAAAAATTAGCCGGGCGTGGTAGCATGTGCCTGTAGTTCCAGCTACTTGGAAGACTGAGGCGGAAGGATCGCCGGAGCCCAGCAGGTCGAGCTTGCGGTGGCTGGGATATGGCTACTGCACTCCAGTCTGGGCGACAGAGTGAGACTCCATCTCAAAAAAAAAAAAAGAACCTTAGGGGAAGATCATCGGGGAATCCTTCCTGACTGGGAGTTTGAAAACTTTATGATAACCTTCTCCATTCTTATTCTCATTTTCTGATTTTCTTAATCCTTTTCCACAGCCCAACAGCTATAAATGGAGATGAGAGCATCTAATTTCTACCTATCTTGCAAAGTCAGAGCAAGGAATAGTGAGTATTTCTTTAAGGCAGAGGTAGGAGCAATTTTCTTTCATATAATGTTAAACATTCTTTAATTTATCACAAACTTATTTTATATCTTTTATGTTCTAGGCACCATGTGCCATTCAGTAATGTTGAGTAGTGTTAGAAAGTACTGATGTTTATAAATTTCTTTTGTAATTTTGCTTTTATTTTGAGCATTAGGAGTGTCATCTCTAAAGTTATAATAGCAATTACTGTGCATATCACTGAAGAGTTTAGCAGACATTGTTTTGGAAGTTGCTCTGTTGTTGTGAAAACAAGAGAATTCCCAGAGAAGTGCAGTGTCTCCTGGCACAGCTGTAACACACACACCCACAGAAGACATTTGTGGGTAAACGCAGCTTTACTACCCACATGCCCGCGCTGGAACCAGATGAACACGCCTGCTGCCTCCCTCCACAGACCCTACTAAAGTGTCAGCTGCTGGAACAAGCCCCAAAGTGTCCTGGTGAGGCAGGGTAGTGAGTGTAGGGTGGACATAGACACATTCTTTTTGTAGGCAGTTTTTAGTTTAAAATAGGAAAGCGTCCAGACATCTTTCTTGCAGAGCAGTCTGGAGTGTGGACCCGCCAATCCACCCCGCTCCCTCAGCTCATCGTAAGAAAACCTCATCCAGATGTAAGAATGACACAGCCCAGCCTTTCAGCTCACGGTTTAGCTTAATAGTCTCTAGGAATCCTTCAGTTTCCCTGTTGAAGGTAAGAGACTCAGCCCCACTCCTTAGCTTTTCGAGGTGTCAGAGGGTTGACTAGACCATCTTTTAGCTCATGAACTTGTATATTAACAAGTCTAGCAAGTCTCCTGTCAAAGGCAAAATGTGTGTTCTGAGAAACGCCCACCCTCCTTGCCTATCTGAGGCAGAGAGATCTCTGCAGCAGATACCTGTGCTCCACCCTCTTTAGCAAATAAATTATTGTAAAAATTTATCAAGCTTTTAGTCAAGAGCAAAAGCGTGTTTTTTTCTTTTCAAGAGACCCACCCACACCAGCTTTTTCTCTGCTGCAAATCTCTCTTTCCTTCTCTTCCTTTTGTTAACAAATTGTTTTTAAAAATTAGTCAGGGCTGGGTGTGGTGGCTCAGCCTGTAATCCCAGCACTTTGGAGGGCCAAGGTGAGAGGATTGCCTGAGCACGGGGGTTTGAGACCAGCCTGGGCAACTTGGTGAGACCTCGTCTCTAGAATAAATCACAAATACTAGCCGGTCATGGTTGCATGCGTCTGTGGTTCCAGCTACTTGGAAGGCTGAGGCGGAAGGATCACCGGAGCCCAGCAGGTCGAGGCTGTGGTGGGCATGAGTGTGCCACTCTACTCCAGCCTGGGTGACAAGAGTGAGACTTCAACTCAAAAAAAAAAAAAATTAGCCAGGCACAGTGGCTCATGCTTATAATTCCAGCACTTTGGGAGGTGGAGGTGAGAGGATTGCCTGAACTCAGGGGTTTGAGACCAGCCTGAGCAACATGGTGAGACCTTGTCTTACAATAAATCAAAAAATTGCTTGGCGTGGTGGCGCATGCCTGTAGTTCCAGCTACTTGGAAGACTGAGGCAGAAGGCAGAAGGATCTCCAACAGGTTGAGGCTGTGGTGGCTGAGAGCAGCATAACACTGCATTTCAGCCTAGACTCCAAAAAAAAAAAGTTTTACTGGTGGCTCTGAACTTCCTTTTAGTCAGGATCCCATGAACTTTGCTTTGTACTCCACCTGGCAACACTGGGATTTCGTGGTGGTAACTGTGGTAATGGCATGGTTTCAGATTTCTGGTTTAGAAACAATCAGCAGCTTCACCATCTTTTTTCCTTTTCAAATACATTGATTTGAGAACCTTTGAGTGTGTTTTGAGTGAGAGTGTACAGCCATTAGTCAATCAGATGAGTGTACTTGTGACTCATACGCTGGATTGTTTAATACAGAGCAGAGCATTGCTAGCCCCATGTGTTGATTTCAGCCACCACTTGTGATTCTTTTTTTTTTTTCTGAGTTGGAGTCTCACTCTGTCGCCCAGACTGGAGTGCAGTGGCTGCTCCTGCCCACTGCAGCCTTGACCTGCTGGGCTCCGGTGATCCTTCCGCCTCAGCCTTCCAAGTAGCCGGAATTACAGGCATGCGTTACCACGCCCGGCTGATTTTTTGATTTATTGTAGAGGTGAGAGGTCTTGCTAAGTTGCCCAGGTGGATCTTGAACCCATGGGCTCAGGCAGTCCACTCACCTCAGCCTCCCAAAGCGCGGGATTATAGGCTGAGCCACTGAGCCCTGCTACCACTTGTGATTCTAAATTGTCTTTATTAGTCACATTTGATGTGTTTTTCAAAATGCATTCATGTGGTATAATTCATAAGTTATAAAAGGTTTATGAGGGTATTTTGTGAAAATTAAGGCTGTTTCCCTCCGCACTCCCCACCTGTTTAATTTTCTTCCCTGAAAGCAACACTGATAACTAGCTTACTATGCATCATCTCAAAGATATTTCCTGCATTTCCGGGGTGTGTGTGTGTGTGTGTGTGTGTATTTTTTTTCCTTCCGTGATTGATAGTAAATACTACTTACTCCCCAGTGTTCTGTATCTCTTTTTTTTGAGTTGGAGTCTCTCTGTCGACCACACTGGAGTACAGTTGGCACGCTCACAGCCACCGCAGCCTCAACTTGCTGGGCTCAGGTGATCCTTCTACTTAAGCCTTCCAAGTAGCTGGAACTACAGCCACACACCACCATGCCTGGCTACTTTTTTTATTTATTGTAGAGATGAGGTCTTTCCAAGTTGCCCGGGCTGGTCTCGAACCCACAGGCCCAGGCAATCCTCTCACCTCAGCTTCCCAAAGTGCTAGGATTGTAGGCATGAGCCACTGTGCCCAGCGATTCTGTACCTTTGGTACAAGCCAGGGTACTCCAAGGTTGGGGTAATCAGTCAACAGGAAAGATGATACAGATGAACCCCAGAATTGGGGTTCAGCCTGAGAGGCCAAGTGGCTCCTTGCGGGAAGGAATTCAAGTACAAGCCATAAGTAGTTGATGAAAAGTAAATTTATTGATGAAATGGAGAAACGGGAAAAATGGCTACTCCATAGGCAGAGCGGCCCATGTGCATCGCTGAGGTTTTTCAGTCTTCCAAGTAGCTGGAACTTCAGGCATGTGCCACCACGCCCTGCTGGTTTTTTGATGTGTTGTGGAGACGAGGTCTCGCCAAGTTGCCCAGGCTAGTCTTGAACCCCTGGGGTCAGGCACTCTTCTCCCCTCTGCTTCCCAGAGGGCTGGGATTACAGACTGAGCCACCACACCCGGCTAAATGTAAGTTTTTTGTTGAATCAGGGGTCCCCAGGCCAGGGACCAGTGCCATCTGTGGCCTGTTAGGAACCGGGCCACAAAGCGGCGGACGAGCAAGCAAAACTTCGTCTGTGTTTACAGCTGTTCCCCATCACTTGCATTACTGCCTGAGCTCTGCTTCGTGTTGGATCAGTGGTGGCCTTAGATTCTCTTAGAAGCACGAACCCTATTGTGAACTGTGTATGTGCGGGATCTAGGTTGCCTGCTCCGTATGAGAATCTAATGCCTGATGCTCTGAGGTCAGTGATGCTAGCTTATTCCTAATTGATAGGAATTAATTCCTGATGTCAGCTGAAGCTGTGATGTTAGTGCTGGGAAGCGGCTGCAAATACAGACTGACGTCAGCAGTGAGGTTTGACTGAACAGAGACCATGATGAATCGGCTGCTTACAGACTCATGTCAAAACCCTATCAGTGAGTGGCAAGTGAGTTGATGCATTTCAGTTATACAGCTGCGTCCGGTGGCAGACTTTAAGTCAGAATCCGACACTTTTGTTTTGTTTTTGAGTTGGAGTCTCACTCTCTCGCCCAGGCTGGAGTGCCATGGCACACTCCTGGCCACTCCAGCGTTGACCTGCTGGGCTCCAGGGATCCTTCTGCCTCAGCCTTCCAAGTAACCAGAACAACAGGTACATACTACCATGCCTGGCTAATTTTTATTCATTGTAGAGACGAGGTCTTGCCAGGCTGCCCAGACTGGTCTCGAACCCACAGGCTCAGGCAGTCCACTCACCTTGGCCTCCCAAAGTGCTGGGATTACAGGCTGAGCCACCAAGCCTGGCCTGAACCCGACACTTTTTCGTCTGTGTGTGGCCTGCCCATTATTTTATTTACCACTTTGTCCAAGCCCCTTTTTTTAAATGGTGAGTTGTATAATTATTTCATTATATAGTGCAATGTAATAATTATAGAACTAAAGTGCACAATAAATGTTATGCACTTGAATCATCCTGAAACCATCCTCTACCACACCCAGGACTTGGAAAAATTGTCTTCCATGAAACCAGTCCCTGATGCTAAAAAAAAATGTTAGGGACCGCTGGGCTAAATACTTTGCAAATATTTTTTCCTGTTGTGGCTTGCCTTTTAATTTTCATAACAGTATCTTTGCAGAACAGAAGTTTTTCATTTTGATAAAGTCTAACTTGCTGATTTTTAAGTATGTGAATTTAAGTAAAAGTAAAATAAAATCCACAATTATTTTTCCAAAGGGTGCAGTCAAATCTTCAGTAAAACGTGAATGACTGACTAGATTTAATAATAAAAATTGCGTTGTTTTTTATAGCTGTTGGCTTAGGGTAAACCTTTTTTTCTTAATCTTTCCTGTAATATCTTTCCAATAATTCCTTGTAATACATAGTACATTTATTTCAGATATGTTGAATTGAACCAAATTTTCATAAATTGCTAAAGATTTACTCTTATGCCGTCCTCTAACTAAAAAAAATAAATTGCCTTCTAAGTGGACTTTATCAATCTACTGGCATTAAGCACTTGTTTAATAAAGTAAGGTGAATTGTTTTGTCTCCTTTGTTTCTTCTCTTAACTATAATTTCCAAGACTGAAAAGTATCCCATTGTGATGTTATGAAGCAATATTGTAGCCAGTGAAGGAAGCAGTCACTCAAGTGACTCAGGAAAGCCCTGGGCTGCTCACAGCTTTCTTTTGGCAAGCCT